AATGAATGCGTTGGATTGAAAGCTTAAATTTTGGTCATCAAAACTCGAGCAGAACGACGTGTGTGTGCAACGTTTTAAAAAACTAACCAATTTTTTAATGAATAAAACAAAAATGAATTGAATTTAAAGGAATATATAATGAATCGCAATTTTTTCAATAAAAAAACTATAAGAGGATATTTTTTTAGAACAGAAAATATAGCATAGAGGGACAAAACTTATTTCGAGTTCTATGATAAATTAGAAGGCTTATCAGGAGAGGAAACAATTTATCAATATATTCAACGTTAAAATCTAAAATTAAACTTTCATTTTAGTTGAAAATTCATGCAAAATACGTATAATATTCTCACTCACTTTTAAACATTTTAATTTCATTCGGAGCAACGATTTTAATCGAAAATATTTCATCAATGTAGTTGACAACAAAAACAAAGTATAGCATCAAATTAAGGTATCCGACTACTTTTGGAACCGTGATTTTGCAAAAGAGTACAAATGAATATTTTTTTTAATATTTAGTGTCACTTAGATTAGAATACAAGTATAAAATTGTTTTAAAATATTTTTTACTACAAAAAATTAATTAAATGCAATATTTTGGCAAAAAATGAATTTAGAATTACCTATTTTCTCAAGGCATTATCCTTCTATGAAAAAAATGCTTCCATAATAATAATATTTTGCTTATAAATAACTCAGATCTCTGTACAGAGCCTTAACTAGAATTTTTGAAATATATAAGAAAAGAATTTATCCATATTTTAATACATCAGAGTGTAGAAATCTTAACAAAAGAACACTTATAATTATTTCAATTGGTTGTAAATCTAAAAATAACGTGATTTTTTCAAGACTCCTAGTCCCGGATCTCTGAAGAAGTCTTCGTTATATCTAAGCAAAAGATTATTATTATTATATAGAAGCATTTTTCATAACAGGAGAATGTTTTGAAAATAGAAAATTCTAAGTTCATTTTTTGCCAAAATATTCCACTCAAATAATTTTTTTTGCAATAATATTCAAAAACAATTTTAAACGTGTATTCTTATCTAAGAGACTAAATAAAAAAAATATATTCGTTTGTACGCTTTTGCAAAACCTCGGCTCCGAACGTGGTCGGATACCTGAAATGCAGAATATGAAATGTGACTCCTGACAACTTCAAAAGCCCTAGACTTTGATACTTTTGCTAAAAAAATGCAAGCACATACACAAACATATATGTATGCATCTCAGTCAGTAAATATAATGCAATGGGGAAAAAAGTGACGCCTGGGGCACGAATCAATGTTATTAACGAGTAAATTACATCAGTTTTAAGTTAAAAATCTTTAGCAAGAAATACAGCAACTTTCTTTAACTGCCTTAACGTAAAATACGTATATATTACACATGTTGATCTAATTCAAATATCTTTAGGATATCTTCTTCTAAGGGTGGGATAGGGTTCCTAGATATATCCCACCTGATATTTTTAAGGGTTCCATGAGTCGACAAAGTTTGAAAACCACTGATCTAGATAAGCATCGCCAAATCCTATTCTACACTTAAATCACTGTTACTGTAACTATTTCTGTTAATTGTATTTTTGATTAAAATCATTTACATTTTCATCGAACTCTTTCGGAGCATAAGGCTTTTATCAAGTCTCTAGGTGTGCAATGCACCCGCTGTAGTTTTTGTATTTCTTTTAGTGTTTTTTATTCATTTGAATTTGAATTTTAATAACTTAAAATTATTTTGCAAATATGTGTTACTTTGTTGTTGTTGTTAATCTTTGTATAATCCTAATGCTAGAAAATCTCCAAGAATCCCAAAACTTCTAGAAATTCTAAAAACAGAAGAGAGTTCTAAAGGAGTTATTCCTTTTTTATACATAAATATAACTTTTGTTAAGTTTTATTTTTTTATTTCATTTAAATTTTGTTTTTTAAAAAATTAAACTTATATTTTATTTTTTATTGATTCCTTATTGTATTGAATTTTACAATGTACAGTAATTTAAAACTATTTCTTAATTATTTAGCAAAGTATTTATTTTAACTTCTATGTCGAAAATTTGCTGTTATGTTCTTACACTATCATTAGGGTAGTATACACCATCATAGCAATCCTGCGTGCTGACCTATTTTATGAAAGAGTAATAGTTTTCATTTCAATTGAAACAATCAAAAATGAACTATGAATTACATTCAAAGAATAACTCTGAACAGAACAGTAATAATAGAATTGATTAAATACTGTAAATAAGAAACTTTAAGAATAGAGACTTTCTCTCTCTCTCTCATCTTCAAAGAGCAAAAATACTAATATTAATAAATTGCTATTAGGATATAAGTTTTGTAAAAAAACATGATATTTAGAATTGAGATTTTTGCTTTACAACATCAATATTAACTGAAGTAAAAAGCTATCTCTGAAACAAGTAAAATATATTTAGCTTTAATTGAACAACAATTAATAGCAAGAACACATAAAATGAAAAAGAAATTACATCATTAACATTAACTTAAATTAAAAACTAAGTAAAATAGGTAATGAAACAAAAATTTAGTTTAAGGTATCCGACTACGTTCGGAACCGTGATTTTGCAAAAGCATATAAATGGATAATTTTCATGATATTTAGTGTCACTTAGATTAGAATACATGTATAATATTGTTTCAAGGACACACATTTTGACAAAAAAAAAATTATTTAAATACAATATTTTGGCAAAAAATTAACTTAGAACAATCTTTTTTCTAAATGTTCTCCTTTTGTGAAAAATGCTTATATTATAATAATATTTTGCCTGTATATAGCTCAGACCTCTCTACAGAGGCTCAACTAGAATTTTCGAAATATATAACTTAGAAGTGGGTTTATCCATATTTTACCTCAACAGAGGGGAGCAATTTTAAGAAAAAAACGCCAATAATTATTTCAATTGGTGGTAACTCTAAAAATAATGTGAATTTTTCAAAAATTCTAGTTGAGCCTCTGTAGAGAGATCTGAGCTATATACAGGCAAACTATTATTATAATATAAGCATTTTTCACAAAAGGAGAACATTTGGAAAAAAGATTGTTCTAAGTTAATTTTTTGCCAAAATATTCTATTTAAGTAATTTTTTTTTGTCAAAATGTTGTGTGTGTTGTGTGTGTGTGTGTGTCCTTAAAACAATTTTATGCATGTATTCTAATCTGAGTGACACTAAATATCATGAAAATTATCCATTTATACGCTTTTGCAAAATCACGGTTCCGAACGTAGTCAGATACCTTAAGGTTTCTGAAAAAGATATGATAGATTCAGTTCGAACAAATCACATCAAAAGTGAAAAAAGAGCTGTAAATACAAGCTGTGTTGCCAAAACTAAAATAAAACTGTTGAAAAAAAACTTTTTACGATGATTTATTCGAAAAACAATTTTAATACTGCCACAAAAAAGAATAAATGTAATGATAGTGAAAATATATGTAATAATCTCCCTAAAGCTTCATGGCTAATAATTTGGCATATTCAGAGATAGACGTGACATCACATCGCCAAAACTTTAAACAATCACTTCAAAATTATTTTTTAAACAATTCTGTTGTTGTTGCTTATGCCACCTGATCCACAGTGCCACATCGAAGGTCCCGAAATTCATCGTGGTAAGGGTCTAGTTGTACGCCTGTCATAAGCCGTAGCTTTTAGCACCATGCAGGTGACAGTACATTTTGGCTCGTTTTCAATTTAATTTTGTGTGTGTGAGGGGTTATCTAAAGGAATATATTTAAAACTATCATCATCCGTAGTTCCATCATACTAATAAATTTCATGCATCTGGGTCTTACAGTTTTTGTGCTGCAAATCTCCCATATACACACAAATATAATCTATTTATTTCATTCGAACAATTAAGATTTCCTTAAAAAAAAATTTTGTAAAGTAAATTATTTAATTAAAATAAAAAAGGCAAAATTTTTTGATATTCTTTAAGGAACTTTTTAAATACTTTTTTTAGTTATAATCTTTATCAATTTTATTTAAAGGGCGTCATTTTTTGACGCCTAAGCTTTTACACAAATTGTTAAATTCTTCAGTATAATAGCCTAAAAAAAAAAATTATCAAACAGTTTTTTTTCAACAGTAATTCAAATACAGAAGTTTTCCTTTTTCTTACTTTATGTATTGTTTTGTACACAAACATAGCATTATCCAGTTTGTTTAAACTTACTCACAACTTTTTTCTTCCACTAGCACCACAGTGACACAAAGTATTACTGATTAACATTACAAATATAAAGAAAGAAAAAAAGGTTGATCTAACTATGCAAAATCAAGTTATTAAAATCAGAGTAGTATATTTAGATTTAGATCTTTAAAGGTCTTCTAAAGATTATTAATATGCAAATTTTAATGCGAATGGTATGTGTGTATAGGCCCATGGAGCGATCGTTATAGCAGAAAATACCCAATATTGTTGGCTACAGCAGGAGTAACTATCGATACTTCCCTACAGGCAGTCATCACGTCCTTTCCAAATGCCTCGCCCTATTGGTACTTATTGAGCTCTGCGATATCAGGCCTCAGTGGAGGAATTATCATAATCATGTCTTCCACTTACAGTTATATGTCCGATATAACAGATGAAAGGTATGTTAATCTTCCGTACATTAACAGCACTTCTTTTATTAAGTCAAAAACATCCTTCTAACTGTAAAAGCAAACAAGTTTTTTTTAAAAAAAATTAAGTCAATTCCTACTTATAACAGATAAACAAAAAAAAATTTTTTATTTAAGTTACTTTTTATTAAATAGTTACAATTAATATAAATATGTGTACACATATGACAGAATCACAATATTAAGTTACAAAATAGAAAAAGCGGTTTTCCTTGCAATTTTCCATTTTATATAGGGTGTTGGTCTATTTTTATTTGTTTGTTACTATTTATTCATTAATTACATTTAATTATTCTATAATAAAATAGTATAGTAAAAAAAATCACATTCTCAGAAATTAGGCCAACCCAGGTGGGATTCGAACCCATTGGATTAGAGGTCCAACTCGCCATCCACTGCGCTACAGGGACACAACGAACGATTTTCCTTCCTATATATGCTGTTGGACTATTATTTTTGTTTGTTACTATTTATCCATTTTTTAATTTAATTAATGAATTCATATTTGAAAAAACTGTGTTAACATCAAGTGTCCTCCACTACAAGTTTTAAAAAATGTATTTGAACTTGAATGGATGAGTACAAAGTATTTTATTACCGATTGTAAACTTGAGTAAGATGTATATATAAATAAATATGTACATATATATAGGGACAGAGTGAATTAATAGTAGGGATTGAAAAAAAAAAGCTTTTAAGTAAATCAACAAATTAGTTAATTATTTCAAAATTATTTTCTCTATCAAATAATGCTTTAAAAATAGAAAAAGATTCGTTTTAAGCGTAATGAAAATAATCACTAAATAAATTAGGAATCGATTCATTAATGGTAACAGAGTAATACACTCTATGGTTGTTTATATTGCTGAAGTAAATTCAGTTTGTCGAGTTCTATAACTAATTAAAGATTAGCTGATATGAATTAATTTCAGTCAAAACTTGGAGTAATAATGACAAACTATAATCTATAACTAGCTGCATCACCCGGCGTTGCACGGGTTTTTCCAAAAAAATGCATATTTTTCCTCTATTCTTTCCCCAGGGAAATTTCCCCTCCCCTTCTCGACTTCAACACTTTATAGTGATTCCCATATATATGTCACTAAAATTGCCTTTTTCGAAATTTCTTCCACTTTTTTGTCCAGTCAGACGGATTTCTTTTCCTATCAATTTTTAGATAAAAAGATGAGATTAGAGGCGGCCTGTTAACAATTCAAAGGAAAGGGAATACATAATTTGCAGATGCACATAAAATTATTTTCTTAGAGGGCTTTAAAATACACAGCTCAAAAAAAAAATATGGGGAGCGCATGGATTTAACGAAATTATGCAAATATTTTTTCTGATAACTAACGTAAAAACAAACAAACTTCCATACTGTTAAGTGTAGACGAAACTTCATATGCAAATCAATATACGTGGGGTCAAAAACCAGAAAAAGGAAATAAGTTCAGAAATCTTGATTTCGAAGAATCTGTGGTTTTTCGTCGTCTCAGTGGTGAAATTCGGTCTTACGGCTATTCTTTTGAGAAAAGAGGATTGGAAAATGTCACGACAACGTGATCTACCTGAACCTATGGTCTGATGTATTATCGGGAGATTGGAAACAGGGAAAACACTAAAAACTGTAGCATACTCTGTTAAAGTGGCAAGAAGTGTTGCTGCAAGGCTGTGGAATCGATTTCAAGAAACTGGGCATGCTCGACGTTGTCCAGGACAAGGTTGTCAACGGTCTACAACAAGGAATAATGACCGATATATCCCGTTAACAGCTCATTGAGATAGAACAGCCAATGCAACGCAGATTCAAAGAAAGTTACTTTTGGCAACAGGACGAACGGTCTCAAGCCAAACAATCCAAAATAGGCTTTACGCGGGTGGTCTGTATGCATGTAAGCCAATAGTATGTATTCGTTGATAGCAAGATACGTGGTATCCGAAGAAAGTGAGCTGCTGAGCATCAAGATTGGATGCAAAAAGATTGGAATCAAGTGCTGTTTACGGACGAGTTCGGATTCAGTTTAGAGTGTGACGCCAGACGTGTTTTTGGTACATTCGCAGGAAAGATCACATTACAGTCTAGGTTGATTGTATGATTCCTTTCTTTTTTAATGTAGGATATTGCCAGAAATCATGCAGCTCGTCTTGTGGAGGACTTTCTTGTAGCTGAAACGATACAGTGCATGGAATGGCCAGATCGTTCTCCTGACCTAAATCTTATCCAGTATGCTTGGGACTCATTCAAATGACGGTCACTGCCTTCTCTTATTGTTCGGAACATGGGGATTGCACTTCTTTAAGAGTGGTACCTCATTCCCCAAAGTCTCATCGCATCCATTCTAAACAGGTGTGCGGTAGTCTTAGCAGTTCAGGAGACCACGCACCATAGTAAACATCCTGTATCAATTCTAAAAAATCAGTCGTCCTTTACATGTCACCGAATTGTGGGCCTAAAGCAACATTTCGTGTCCTTTATACCATTTGAAAGAATTAAAGTTCCCATGCAATTGTTTTTTCTTTTTTTATGCATTGTTTATGTGTACTCTCCATTTTATGCCCATGCATGGCTATCGTGCAACGCGGTCTCTTCTCTTTTTTGCTTGCTCCTCTAATTTTTCTGAACAGTTTATTATTCGCCGATAACTTAAATATATTAAAGAAAGATTCAGTTGGTTTGAAGGAATTTCGCTATGTTGAGGAAGGACTGCAGTTGTCAGACATTGTAATGTAAAATCATAATCAAATGACAAATATCACCTTAGGAAGCAGCTCTTTTTTTTTTTTTAACTTATGCAATATGCACTGCTTGGGTTTTGAAATCTAATTCAGTTTGTCGAATACAGTGGTCTTTGAAAAAAATCTCTGTTCATAGCAGTGGTGCACACAAGGGGGGCTCCTGGGTCCGGACCCCTCCAAAGCCCTTGATTTTTTTTCCGATTGATTACAATTTTAAGTATATAGTACGAAAAATTTAATTAAGTATTTGTTATTAATGATTAATTTTATTAATTAATGCTATTTATTTATTCAATAATTAGTTTTTTACTGTGTTTTGTTCCCGAAAATCGACAAAATCAAAAGGAGCATGATACAAGAATAGTGAACTATCAACCCCGGACCCCCCCTTGAAAAATTCCTGTGTGCGCTACTAGTTCATAGCCATTACTTTAAATTTTCATAGCATACATGTAACTCACATCATCAATCATAAGCTTACTATTCCGAATTAATGAAAGAAACGACTCTTCATTTTGCACATTTATTCAAACGATAAATGAAAACATTGAGCGAAAGAAAAATTATTTTAATAGTTTAAAAATAATAAATATAGCATATTGTATTAGCAGACTCTGAAAAAGCACATTAAAATTACAATGGTACGATTAAAACGTTTAATTTGCGGTTTTATAAGGGAATTCAGAAATAAAAATTATGCTGCATACGATGTCTCCAGAGAAAAAACAACTAAATAAAATTAAGATTTTAGTTGAGATATGAGTATAAAGACGCAATGACTTCTTATTCAAAGCTGTTATCATTTATTACAGCTGTGTTGTTGTTGTTGCACGCCCCCATTCGCTTTCAAAAAATCCAACACCAGCAAAGGATCGTCTGCTAAATCCTGCTTAGTGAGCCCTAGGCATTCGAGGATGGGAGTAGGCGAGACCTGCTCAGAAGAACAGTTCGTGCACATTTCAAAGCTCTTGCATCCTTCGGAAAATTTCATTGTTTTAAGATGGCCACTTCGAAAGCGGGCTAGAAGAGTTTGATCCAGTCTTTTATATAGCTGTTGTTTTGTCTAAAATAGCCTTAAGAATAACCTTTAGAAAATTTAAAAATTTAAGAAAGCACAAGTATTGCCATTGTCTCAAATGATATTTTACAGTAACCTGTTGATAACGTATACCCATTATATATATACACTCAGGTTCAAAATTTAGGTCACAAACAAAATCTGTGAAAACTGATGAATTGTTTATTATCTAATATTTAATAAAATATCAAATTTGTATTTTGTGATATTTGTATTCCTTTCGTGTCTCTTTCTTACAGATCCCGTCAATCAAGGTTTGCAATCTTAGAATTCTTCACAATCATGGCTACTCCTGTCGGATCTTTCGTGGGTGGACAGGTATTCAGTGCAGGGAAATACCTACCTGTCATGATTATAAGTCCGTGCAGTTTTGCGCTGGCTTGGTTATGGATGAGATTTTATGTTGTAGAAACCAAGCCGAGGAGATTCGACATCACAAAAAGAGAAATATTCCGAGATCTATTCAAGCTAGATAATATGAAGTCTAGTTTCAGGACTTGTGCGCAGAAAAGGCCAGGAAACTTGAGGCTGCAAATATGGCTGTTATTGTTTATAGGCTTTTCTGTCCGTCTTATCCAATTGGGTAAATCAAGTATTATATTCAAAAGTGCTAAAATGTATTGAAGTAATTATTTTAAGTACTAAGAGTAAAATATTTGAGGAATATATAAAATTCAATATTACTTGACCATTTATTTCAATAAGATAAAAAAAAAATGTAAGGCAAGAATAATCATTCACCTGTTTCCTTAAAAATAATAAATTTTTTATCAAAAAAGATATTTTCACACACACACACATGGACTAATTATTTTACTTAATTTGTTGATTTAAAAGAGGTATTCTGTGTTAATATTAAAGTAAAACTAAACACAAACTTGTACAACTTTGTTTCATGATTACTTCACACACACTCAATGTAATAAGACCTTATAGTGACTTTAAATACTACACTCCCTATAATTTCTGGCCAATAATAAAGTTACAATTAAAGTAATGGATGTTAATATGATGTGTGCGTGCGTGTGCAGTGAAATAATTCGAAAGTGTTGCAGTAATCTGTATTGCTTTGCTCCCTTAACTAATAATTGTGAAGACCTTTTATCTCTGCTGTTACATTTAAAATAATGAAAGAGAGACATATGCAATTTTATTTAATAATTATGATGGTTCAAGTGAATGATACTTATATTAACGTTGCGCTATAAAGTAACACGAAGGGTAATAGCGACGAACCTCGTAATTTTGAACCTCGGTCAAGTGTCGAATTGATAGTCCAGATTTCCCAAGAGGATTAGTGAAAGGATCACGAATATATCCGTCACAAGCATAATTATGTAACCTTCGAGCCCTGTATCATTTTTAGGATCCATTTTTAAAATAAATCTTTTATTTCACATTCCAATCAACAGAAAACTTCAGTAAACGATTATTCTGATATTGCCAAAATTTTATCTCACAGAAAATGAATTACGAAAGCGTTTTCAAAAAGTGAGAATGACCTTCTGTAGAAGAAAACTGCGTCTTAAGTATGGAAAATTTAAATAAATAGATTTATTTATTTCCAGGTTCATTGGGAGTCGGTTTTCCGTATAC